GAGCCGCCCGCGGAGCCGCCGCCTCCGCCCGCTCTGCGCATCCTCGCTGCAGCCCCGCAGCCGCCCCCGCGCCCCGCGTCTCCTCCTCCCCGCCGCCTCCGGGGCAGTTGGTCCTTCTGCTCCCTGCTCCTGAAAGGTGGGCCAGGGACGGCAGCAGCAATATCGCCTGGTAGCCTGTTAGCGTCACTTGCCTCAAGCCCCACTCCAGAACCCCGAAAAAAAGCAGTTGATTTTTATCCAAAATTCAAGAATCCCAAGGCGCATTTTCATTTCAGAAGCGCTTCTCTCCCCCCAAATTCACCACATCAGAACTGTCACCTCCACTTTGGCCTGCACTTTTTCTTTTCCATAAAAAACTTAACTTACCAGACCCCTTATTTCCTGGAATCATCACAGAAAGACATTTAAGTCGCAGGATCCCACTACATAGATGGAACAGTGAGGTGGTCAGAGGCAGAAAGGAAACTAGAAGCCGTTCTTGGGGTTTATAGTCACCAAAGGTCGCTGGGACGGAGGCATAACCCGTACCCTTTGACACTGGGCAACTGGCTTATTGTTTGCCCCCAGCAAGCACAGCTGGGCCTGACGTGCCCAGGCCCTGTCTGACGCCTCTGACAATTCACTTTCCTTTGTGTACGCAGCCCACTAGGAATTCACACCAAGCACTGAGTATATACAAGTTCCCAGGGTTCTCTTATGGTGACCGTTTGTTGGGATGATAATACATTCAAACTGCTAAACTGCTTTCTGTTAGGGACATTTCATGGTGATATTGTACAGCTAGCATTTTGGTTTTTTTCTGGTTTTTTCTGACAAGGTTTCGCTAGGTAGTCCAGGCTGGCCTCGACCTTGCACTGATCCTCCTGCCTCAGCCTCGGGAGTATTGGGATTACAGGCGTGCGCCGCCACACCCAGACAGCCATCATTTTGAATCTGATTTTGTTTCTGTTTTATTTTATAAGCAAAGAAAATAATTATCAAGGGAAACAAAGCATAGAGATTCCAAATGCAAACCTAGAGGTCAGAGTGGTAATCAGTAGTTGCTTATGATAATCTCCAGGATGTGGTGAAGATTGAGATAATAAAGATCAGAAGAGCTCAAGGTGTGCATGAATGTACCTAGAATTATAACATTAATACCCCCAAGGAAAACCAGTGACCTTGACCTCTCCCAGTCGTCTGGGAGACCGGAGGGCTGGTGTTGGCACAGGGGGAGGTCCTGGGGGACCCACAGGGCATGTGTGCCAGCACAGCAGCTAACTGCGCCTTGTCCCAAAGGACAATATGTTTATGTATGTTAACTGGACAGCTGGAGCCAAGCGTAATTCATGAAAGCCTTGAGCTTCAGTAGATCCGCCAACATACTAGTTGTTGCATGAAATAAATCAGATACATTGTGTTTGGAAAAGGCAAGGACAATTATAATTAGTTTTTAAAATAAGCTAGACATTGTGGTGCATGCCTGTAATCCCAGCACTTTCAGAGGCTGAGGCAGGAGGATGGCAGGTTTGAGCCCAAGACCCTATCTCAAAATAAAAAATTAAGAAGGGATACAGATGTAACTCAGTGTAAAAACCCTGTGTTCCATGCCCAGGACTGAAAAAGCTAACAAAAACAAAACTCCTTCCAAGAGCATAGCTTGGCAGTACATTAAAATTAAAATACACCTAAAAGCCAATTCGGTACATTAAAAAATATGTGTAATTCTTCAAAAAACCCACAATTCTTTCTTTAAAACTGAACTTCCTTTCTTTTCTTCATCTTTCCTTCACCAAAGAAGATAGTTTTAAATGGACTGATATTAAGCTAATAAAAAAAAAGAGCATCTGATTTCTGCCAATTTCAGTATCGATCCCCTCCTTTGAGAACTGAAGCTATTACCTATTATTTTCCTTGTTATTCTTTTCATTTCAATTATTACAACTAACAGTGATGAAAGTAAATAGAAGGTAAGTACAAACTAGGTTACTCACCTCCTGGTAAAATGGTCTGATAAAAGTGTATGGCTGTTCACTCTTGTCTGTCTGTCTGTCTGTCTGTCTGTCTGTCATCTGTCTATCTGTGTATTGGAGGGCTTGTAATCATATCCTAACATGATATTTAATCTATGGATTTTGATTATCTACTGGTGTTTAAGGAGCCGGAGTCCATGGACCTGAAGGAGGTCGGAGCCACAGATAGGCTCAAGGGTGGTGTGAGGCTCTGTGAAAGTACTAGAATAAGTAATGTATGGATTTTTCTAAGGTGAAGGCTCATAGCGCTTATAGGCCACTCAAAACCTGGATGTCTCATCTGAGCCTCAAAACTTACTCAGGTTTCTAATTTCCTATACAACTGGTTCCTACAATTTCATAAGCTCCTTTTTGGCCCATTTAAATAGTCTTTTAGGGGCTGGGGAGATAGCTCAGCAGTCTAAGTGCCTGCCTGAAAATCACGAGGACCTGGGTTTGATCCATGGTGCCACATGCCATGCTGGCCCTGGAACCCCTCGTGCACAGTGCCGACCACCAAAACTGGGTGTAGTGGTGCATGCCTGTAATCCCAGCACTGGGGAGGCTGAGACAGGAGGGTCACTACAAGTCTGAGCTGCTTAGTGAGACCCTATACTAAATAAATAAGTAAATAGATAAATAAAATGTTTAAAATTTTTTTAAATAAAAAAAACCAGTCTTTTAGGATGCTCTTATTCTTTGTGTTTTCTTACAGGATTTAAGCCTTGAAAAGACCCTGAAGGGTTCAAACCTTAGCATGAGACACACATATAAATTATAAACGATGCTCAGCACACATGTTATATGTCAGGTCTGTGACGATCCTGTGCCCCCACTGACATGAACAGATGGATGGCAAAAATCTACTGTGATTTTTTTCCAATTTGAAGTAGAGTTTGGTATCATTTTCATTTTTAAAAGAAAAGCACTTTTATTTTCAATTCTCATCCAAGTCATTCCTCTTTTAAAAACCAAAGATTTTTTTTCTGGTATTAAAACTTCCCCAAACCAGGGTTACATTTTGGTGCCTACCCAGTAACAGATGTGCCCATGCCTCTGACGAAGTAGTATATGCAATTTTGTACTTTGGATTTCATGAAAAATAAAAGCTGTGATCTTGGTAGCTCCTCACAAAGTTAAACAGAGTTGACATGTGAACAATTCTCAGAGAAATGAAAACATATGCTCACACCCAAACTGGCACATGGATGGTCCATAGCAGTATTGTTTGCCATAGCTAAATGTAGGAGAGACCCAAATCTCTATCAACTGGTGAATGGATGAACAAGACATGGTATATCCATACCATGGTACATTATTCAGCCACTAAAAATGAAGGAAGTTCTGGTACATGCTACCACACGCATGAACCTTGAGAACATTAAGCGAAAGAAGCCAATCATACAAGACCACACATGGTATGATTCGATTCACGTGAAATGTCTAGAATAAGAAACCCATGGGCAGAATTTAGATTAGTATTTGCCAGAGGATGAGGGCGGCAGTGGACTCACATAGAGCTGATGTCTGCGCAGCATTGTGGGTACACTAGACAACACTGAAGCACACACTTTAAAATGGTTAAAATGGTGATTTTTATTTGAATATTTTAAAGAGCTGTGGTGTTTGAGATGGTGAAAGAAGGATAACAGTGACATTACAATATCCCTGTACTATTTTGGGGTACAATTCCTGGATGCATCCTTGTGAGATCTCCTGAATCTTCAAGGATTTTGTTTCCAGACTTTTCAAACCTCATGCTCTGTGAGGCCCATGGTCTATAAGCCCTGTGGCCTGGAGATTCCCAGGCCCCGCAGTAACCCCTCACGCCCACCAGAAGTTTGTGGCCAGCCTTAATTACGTTAGCAGCCTGATCTTCCCCCTGAACCTTGGGTGTGTGTTGTGTGACCTTACGGTGCTATGGTTTTGGTTTTAATACATAAAAAGGTGAAACAATTGCATAATTCCTTTCAATCACTCTGAATCTACCCAGTACAATGTCATCTTCTCAGGTCAAAATGCCAAGCACCCATCATACATTTAAGTAGGTAAATAACCAGGACAACTGCTGAAACAATGGAATCCTCTTCATTTTACTGGTTAGAGGTGAGCTGCCAAATGTACTGGGTTTTCATGTACAATAACAGCCAACGTGTTTGTGGTCAGATTTCCAGTGACATCAATCTTCAGAAACACCTGTGAACCCAAGGGGAGGTGGGGAAGTGCAGGAGACACAGCCTCCTGGAAACAGCAGCCCAAAAGCCCATGCATTCCTCCCTGGAAGCAAAGCAGACCTGACACATGAAATACTTGGCATCCTGGCTTCCCTGGAAAACCTTTGGCTGTGTCCGGAAGGTTTCCATCAGAGAGCAGGAGATGAAGAACAGATGCCTCAGAAAGCAATTGAGAAGAGGAAGAGGCTCTGGATTGGCAAGAAGTGACAACCCCATGTTGTACAAGAACACGTTTTGTGTCATGGTCACAAGACAAAGAACAGCTAAAGCCATTTTAAAAGTACAGCTGGGGTCACCAGGGTAAAAGGCCCCCAAAGCTACAGTTGCCTCACTTAGCTCCACTGATAGAGCAGAGAGAGCAGTAAAAGACCAGCAATGAGAAGATCACAATAGCCTGCACTAGGCCAAGCCAAGCCCTGTGCATTTTGATAGCTCCTGGTGACACCACTGCACCATACCAGGGTACAAAACGGGTGATGACTATGATGACCATGACTCACCAAGAAACAGTTAAATACTCTCCAGGATACTGTGTTTACTAAGGCAGGGAAGTACGTAATATAGTACATTTTAGAAAGATTTCCCTCCAAAAAATATTAAAATTTTATCAGCACTTAAAGGGTTACTCCTCAGTTATCTGAATATTTTCTTATAACTTTCATTTACAATGCTAGTAAATGAGACATTACTTTTTTATAGTCATTAGTATCAAATTATTGGCACCATTCAGTTGTGAGGATAGGGACAGGAGAGCAAACTGTACAATACAACATAAAAATACAGTTTGGATACAAATGTATGAGCTCAATCCCACTTAACAAGTGGTCATAAGAAACAGATGGACAGCTCACACACAGGGAAATACATCTTGTAAATCATCACATGGAAAGGTGTTCGGGCTTGCTAGTAATTAACGAAACAAAACAACTTTTCAAGAACAACTATACACATCTATTCAGCTAGCAAAAATAAATAAAAATGGCAAAACCCAATACTGGCAGAGCTATTGGTAAATTAAAATTCTTACACATTGCTGGTGGCATCATAAATTGTAGAGGGGATTCAAGCATTCAGAAGGGGGAAAGTAAATTCAATGACCTGTAAGGTCCTCCAACCCAGAGATTGGATCTTTCTAGAAAGCAATCTGGCAATATAAAATAAGAGCTATAAAATACTTCATGCTCTTTGACCTTGTAATCCCCCTTTGGAGATATTCCCAAGGGAATAATCCAAATGAAGGAACTATTTGTTTTTTACAAAGACATTCATAGCAGCACTATTTATAAGAGTGAAAAATTAGATATGATTCCACTTGCTAATAGTGGGGAGAAATAATGTTAACCATGTCATATGGATATAAAGACATTTAGATCGGTGAGAGCAGGATGTTTGATAAGGAGATAAGTGTTAGGTGGAGAATATAACAAAACGGAATGTACACACGGATCATAACTTTGTAAAATGTGTGCATGTTCATTGAAAAATCTAGGGAAATAATTTAGTGGCTGGGGGTTCCTTTATTCCTGCAAAGTTAATCAAGTGCATAATAAAAATTTAAAAACACATTTCTCGAAACTATATAAAAAGAGAACAAAGTTTCATCTGGTCAAGGTTCTATCAACATAAACTAACCAACTTTAGAAATAATTTTCCTTTGTGGAACACCCAAATGAATCATTTTGATGTTTAATTATCTTAACCCTGTAAAGACTTTTAGACTATTTAAGCTGGTATTTCCTACTTTGGGTTCAATGATAAATTCTATTTATCATGGAAAATATTATATCCAACAAGATCACACATTAAATTATATTTCAGGTCAAACTGAAGTATTTTAAGTCATAGTGATATGTAACTTTGTTTTTAGCTCACCTACTCATGTCTGAATAAAAATAAAGGACTTTAGAAGATCCATGTATTTATCAGTGTAAATGAAAAACCAGCAGTAAAGAATCTCATTAAAAAGGACTCCTTAACAATCAGTCAAAGCTTGGTTGCAAGTTTCAATCATACAAAATCACATGGTTCAGATTGTTAGCAAAGGAGTCCGCGTCATATTAGCCCCTGCATCTGTTAACCACAGGGGCTTTTGAACAGGAGTCCCTGTTTTCCCTTCTTTCTTTTCTTAGACTTACCAAAACTTGTCTCAGTTTTACTGAGCATTAAAAAAACCCTCTAATACTCAGGAGACTAAAGTAACTTTTCCAGTAATAGTCAAGCCAGAAGTTGGCTTCCACTAATCACGGAGACCTGGGCAAACAGAGCACATGACATTTGTATGTTGTGCTAAAGTGAGCACACAGAGCCCGAAGAAAGGGAACAGACAGAAGGCACCACGCCATCCTCCAGGCGGTCAGAGGAGAGTTTCACAGTTCGGTCATCAACAGTCTTTTCATCATTTTCTCTCTTTCCAGTTCCTGCCGGAGTGTCTCTGCACTGAAAAGAAAACAGTGACATGAGACAGGCCCTCAGAATGACAGAAGCAGACAGCTTAAACATCATCTCTCAAATTGTTTGTCTAGGTTGGATTTCACCAGGTAGCCCGGGCTAGCCATGAACATGTTATTCTCTGGCTTCAACTTCCAGAGTACTAGGCTTATAGGCCTGTGCCACCATCCCCAGGTCTCCTGAGTCCAGTTCTTGGCTTTCCGTTTTAGAGTCCTTGGGGTCCCTTACATTAGCTAGTATTACGAAGACCTAAAATTTCCTAGACTGACCAAATCTTCTCTCAGCTATGCTAAGCATTAAAAAAAATGCCTCTAATGCTCAGGAGACTGAGCATTAGAGTGAGCGCATCCTCTATCACTAAAGCCTCAAGCCAGCAAGGATCAGATACATAGCAGCCACATGGTAGAAGTCTCTTGAATGAATGGAAAGACATCCAGAGTTTAGATTTCTCTAAGTCATTCTGTAAATTGGCTTCATATGGAGTTTCTCCCAGAATTTAAGGTAGGCTGAGGTGATATCTCAGTGAAGACTGCATTATGGTCAATGAATAAAACTGAATGAAGCAAAACTGGTTCTTTAAGGGGTTACCTCTGACCTCATGGACATCAGGACCAGAAGCATGTCTATGAAACGTATTTCTGTTATTCACACACACACACACACACACACACACACTTGTATAAAATGCATATTTTTAAAGAAATAAATCAGATTTATTAATCTCATTCAGAGCAGAAACCCAAAGTCTCTACTCTGGCCAACAAGGCCCCATGCAGTGTCGCTCCAACCTGCAACTGCAGTCTCCCTTCCTGTCACTGCTCTGACCACGATGCCCTATACTCTTCCTTAACCTTCTCAGGGAGGCTGCACCTACGGAGCCGCAGCACTGGCTTTCCCCACTGCCAAGTGTACTCTTTACCCAGGTGTATGCCACCTGCTCTATGAGGCCATCCCAGCAGGTCCTTTTGCCCATCAGTTTTATTTTTGTCCTTAGCATTTGTCACTAACACACACACACACACACACACACACACACACACACACACCCTCTCACATGCTACAGTATAAACTCTGTTAGGGTAGGAGTTTGTGTTTTGCTTACTACCACCTAGAACGCAGCCCCCTCCTTGTAAACATTTCCATAAAAACCGATGAGATAAATGAAAGAACTGTCACAAACACAGTACACCTGTGTAGGGTAACCCTATCATCAGTGACCTCCTGGAGCTTGCCAATCTAACTTACCTAGTTGCCAGAGAAACAGGCTTCCGGGCATTATAGATGGTCTGTACTGTGGAGACAGTCTCTGTCAAAGGCCTCAGGGCCACTGTTGGGATCAGTGGGGAAGACTGGCCAGGACAGCACTGGAATTTACTGTCTCTAAAGTCTGCCTGGAGAAGAAAAGAAGAGATCAATCTCAATTTGGGTTCCACTTTCACTCTGTCAGTCGCTCTCAAAACCTCACTGTATAGTTCCTGTTATTTTTTAATAATAGTAAAATCAATTGCCATTTTGCTTTGCACCAGATACCATGCTAAGCACTTCACATACATTATGTCTTGACAGTCTTTTAAGGAAGAGGTCATAATTCATCACCTCTTAGGCACCATCAGTTGTATGATGCAGCCTTTGCACGTGTGCCACAGAGAAAGACAAATGCAGCACTCAGACAAAGATGCTAAGAGGTGCAAGACTATTCATCCTCAAGGGTACATCCTAGGACTGACTTCATGGAAAAGGAAAGGGAGGCTTAGAGTTTGTCTTCTTCCCAAGGTGACAAAGTGAGTGTTAAGAAGTATTCAAAACCAGGGTTTCTGAGATTCCGACTCACCCCAGACAGAGTGACTATCATGAAAATATCAACCAATAACAAATGCTAATGGGGTTGTGGGGAAAAAGGGACACTTTTTCACTGTTGGTGGAAGTGCAGACTGGTACAACCACTATGGAAATCAGTGGGACGGCTGGTCAGATAGCTCAGTGGATTAAAGCGCCTGCTTAGGCAGATGCATGGGCCGAGGGTTCGATCCCCCAGTATACAGTGCCAGCCTCACCTCCAGAGTACACTGAGATGTTGATTGAGACTGAGCGTGGTGATGCACGCCTGTAATGCCAGCACTTGGGAGGCTGAAAACAGGAGGATCACTATGAGTCCAATCTGTATAGTGAGACCCTGTAGACCCTGCACTAAATAGGTAAAAGTAAATAAATAAAAATAAAAATAAGAAATCAGTGTGGAGACTCCTCAGGAAACTAGGATTAGAGGTTCCATTTGAGCCAGCTATTCCTCTTCTGGAATTATTTTCCCACATGAAATGAAAACACCATACCACAATGATACATGTGCCCCCATGTTTATAGCAGCATATTTTGTCACAGCTAAATCTTATAAACAACCCAAATGCCCATTAATCAAGGAATGGATAAAAAGAGAGGTGGTATTTTTATACCATAGAGTATTATTCAGCTATAAAAAAGATAAACTCAAGGCTTTTCTAGGTAAATGGATACAACTAGAGGCTATACTCAGAAGTGAAATAAGTCAGATTTGCTCGTGTAAACAATGTATCATCTCCTGAGTACAAGAAACTGAAAGAATAAATAAGACCCAAAACGTATACATAGACATTGTGAAAGGAAAAGAAACTGCTCAAAAAGGAAGAATAATGGGGATGAAGGAAAGCAGAAAGAAGAAAAGAGAAAAATTAAGGATGCATGACTTATGAGAATGGTCTCTAGTTGCATCCATTTACCTAGAACAGCCTTGAGTTTATCTTTCTGTATAGCAGAGTAATACTCCTTTGAATAAAAATACCACATTTTTAAAAACCCATTCCTTGGTTAATGGGCATTCGGGTTATTTCCGAGATTTAGCTACACCAAATTGTGTGACTATAAACAGAAGTGCACATGTGTCACTGTGGTATGATATTTTCATTTCTTCTGGGAAAATACCCAGGAGGGAAATAATAGCTGGGTCATAAGGAACCTCTAATTCTAGTTTTCTGAGGAATCTCCACATTGATTTTCATAGTGGCTGTACCAGTATGTGTGTGTGTGTGTGTGTGTGTGTGTATATTGTGTGTGTACATACAAGATAGTTGTATTGTGTACACACAAGATAATTGTATTACTAATTTCTATTCATGGGCCAGGGAGATGGCTCAGTGGATAAGAACTTCCCTGGCAAGGGCAAGGGCCTGAGTTCAATCCCCGGTTCTGTCAAAAAAACCCAAAAACTAATTTCTATTCATTCATTGAAAAGAACAGTTAGTGCTTAGGTTGTTTTATCAGTCTTCATGCCTACGTCTTGTAATCTGATCGATGACTACTCTGAAGATAATAATACGCAATATAATACCCATTGTTAATTTCCTATCATCTTGTTTTGAAATTCTGTATCTTTTTTATTTTTGTCTTTAAAATTTAAAAAGCCAGCGTTTGCTGACTCCATGACTGGGCATTTTTTACCACTACAGCACCATCTTTGGGGAACCCAAAGTATGTTCTCCGTACTAGCAGCTCTAGCATTATCTTGAAACTTGGCAAGAAAGCAAATGCCAACCATGCGTTGCAGTGCATGTCTAAACACAATTACTCAGAAGGTTAAGGCAAGAGGTCTCAAGTTTGATGCCAGCCTGGGCAATTTAGTGAGGCCCTACATCAAAACAAACAAGTGAACCTCAGTTTCCATCATGGAACCCAAAATATCTAGGGAAGTCCAACAATATGGGTGTTTCTTTTGGGGGGGAGTGGGAGTGGTGGTAGCGGTGATGTGTAATTATGTGGTACTGGGGATTCAACCCAGGGCCTTCATACTGTGTGGCATCCTCCAGGACTTGCATTTATTTATTATTTTACTTGGCAACAGGGTCTTGCTAAGATTCCCCAGGCTGGGATCAAACTCATAATCTTCCTGCCTCACTCTCCCAAATGCTGGGGTTAGTGCCAGCCAGATAGCTCAGTGGATTAAAGCACCTGCTTAGGCAGATGCAAGGATGGGGGTTCAATCCCCGGCATGCTGAGACTGCAGCTGAGACTGGGTGTGGTGGTACAGGCCTGTGATCCCAGTGCTTGGGAGGCTGAAAACAGGAGGATCACTATGAATCTAATCTGTGTAGTGAGACCATGTGGACCTTGTACTAAATACATTTAAAAAAAGAAGTGAAAGAGTAGACCAAATGCTGGGGTTACAAGTGTGAGTCACCATGCCCTGCTCAACAATGTGTTTTCATAGACTTTGAGGCAACTCTGGTACGTGACATGGTTTCAGAATTACTGGTCTAGGGCACACACATCACTTGGAGAAGAGAATTTCTTGCTGTCATTTTCATTTCAAACGAAAATATGCTCCTTCCTTCTACATAGAAAGCTTAAGGGATCTATATAAGTGGATAAAGGAAGAAAGTCCGCAATCCCTTACTGTGGTCATCAGTATATGTTCTCATAATATTTTTCCTATGCATCATTTTTTTGGTTTGTTTTTATATCCTTTTGCTAATACCAGCTATGTATTCATATCTTCATTTTTAAAATGCTAGTTCTTGACACTAAATGCAGAGTGAGGTATCACCTGGCTTTGCAAGGAAGAGACTTGGATCATCAAATGGGCAATTACCCTCTTGGTGATTACACAGCCGGAGAGCTGTCCTGTCTAAGTAGCCCTTAAGACTACCGAAAGCATCCCAGACACTGTTAGTCTGTAATGGCCTTTGACTTGACCAATGGGAAGAGGCTCTATCTTTGAGGGTGGGAGCTTTGAAAGCTATTGCTGAGAAATTAGTCCTTGTTTGTGTCTTACACTGCCCCTGCCAAGGAGAACTGACCATCCTGAAATGGAGGAATGCTTAAGCACTGACTTCCTTCTGGTCTCTGCTGAAATGCTGCCTCGGTGAGGGCCTCTTGCAAGTCAGTAGGTCGGTCACACATGCAGGAGAATCATGCTTTGTCTAACATGCGTGTGTGCCAGAGAGAGCCTCCCAAATGGTGGGCTATAGCCGTCATCTGAGTTGCGCATCAAATCACTCTGTTTCACCACCTTCTAGGTATGTGGTAGGGCTACACTTGCCTGCCCCCTTGGAAGTCAGTGAAATGTGAGGTGGTCCTGTGTTTAATTTGTCTTGAAACATTTAAGAACCACTGTACGATGCATCATCTCTTTTCTGTCTTCCCCTGCCACTGTTACTAACAACACTCCACAGGTCAGCCAGCTGTTCTAGTAATCCGGATCCCAGAAAGAGGGCAACAGAGTCCAGGCCTCTGTTTATCCAGGACAGATGTGCAGCAGAGGTGGGTTTGCCTAGCCTGCCTGCCACAGCAGCTGAAGTAAGAAGTCGCTTTGCTACTTCCATGGACTGTAGAGATTGGGGTTCTCCACCACTGTTGAGGGATGTTTGTGCCAATGATACAAAGGCAGTGGTGTGTAAAAGTGCCTTAGCATGAACACAAGCTTTATTAGTGGTCAGTGTATTTTCGCCATCATACACTTGAAGTGGGGGAAGTTCCATCTATGAAGGACCTTGAGAAAGCAATAAAAATTACTTATTAAATCTCAATCCTAAGTACTCAGCATTTTAATACTTGTTAAGTAAGTAAATAAATAAATAAGTGAATAAATGAACATTCAGTGGAATAAAACAGGTAACACAGAGACAGACATGGGAGTGGCAACATGGAACCAAAATCTGTCTAAAGCTGGACAGGAGCCCTCACCCTCGACAGACCAACATACATAGCTGACTATCAGCAGAGATCCAGCTAATAGGCCTGAATACAAAGTAGGGACTGGTCTCAGGGACAAACAAGAAGCCTGGTTATTGGAACCAGAACCAAAGTGAATGCTGTATCAACTGTCAGAAAATCTTGATGGAGCATTCCCTGGAGCTGTTCAACTTCTCCATGATTGTGGTGGGTTTTGTAGGCCGGTGGAGAGGCCAAACCTGCAGCGAGTTCAAGTGTCTTGGTCTCGCTAAGAAGGAAAAGAGGCCACAACAAGCAGGGGTGAGAAAATTGAAGGCAGAAGTGTGGCTTCTACAACCACTCAGCTGTCAGTTACCCTAGCCATTATCCACTGTTTAGTTTCCTCTACTGAGTTACTGACATTCAGACCCAACTGCCCACTCCTGGTTTCCATGTGTTGGCCCAAGGCACACTTATCTCTTCCAATCCAGTTTTCCTTTGGTTTGCTTATCTCAGTGAATAGACTTGCTGTCCACCCATATTCTGCATGAGAAATCTGGAAGCCACTTATTACCCTCCTTCTCCATCCATTCGACACTTTACCAGTCTGCTAAATTGTATCCTAAAAGTCTCCTCTGCTTGTGTACATCTGTCCCTCTATACCATCAAAACTGTTCTGGGTCAAGCTCTGTTTTCTCTCTCCCTGAAGCCAGTGTCCTAGATTTCCAGACTATTGTCCTAAATCCAGTATGTCTGGATCTAAACATTCTCCCACTGTGATCACAGAGACCTATTCAAGTAGTCTGCCCTCTCATTGTCCTGCTTAAGGATCTTGAAGCTTCTCATTGCTCTTGCTATATGGATCAGAATCCCTCCTGTGGCTTTCATGGCCAGGCATAGTTTATCCCCTCCAGTGTGTGTCCCTGCCTATGTCCCTTTCCTCCTTTCACACCCAAGGCCCCTTGCTTTCTGCATTTGAGTCCTTCTGGCCTTCTTTTCAGTCTCTTGAATGTGTGATGACCCCTCCTACTCCAGAACTCTGGTTTCCGCTGTTCCCTCTGCCCCACTTCAGCTGCCTTCAAGCCACTCTCTCCTAGTTTTTGAAAGACCCAGCATGATTTCTGACAGTGGTTTCCTGCTTCATCCAGGACCCCTGCTTTCAGGAAGGGCTTCCCTGAGAGTCTCACAGGACTGCCAAGGCTGGGCAGGAGGCCAGAGTGCCCCACCATGGCCAGCGGGGAGAGATGGAGCGGAGCTTCCAGCTGGGAAGCTGTATCCAGCAAAACTGCAAGAAGCTGGATGTGTGTCAGGGCCATGGCATTTAACAGCCCAGCCCAGCTTCTGGTGCTCTGCCCTCTCGTTAAATGCCAGGGGCTGAAAGCAGCTCATGACCCTATAAACAGGCTGCTGTAGCAACCCATTTTCCCTCTGCCTGGACTGCAGGATACTGTTCCACCTCTGTCTTCTGAAACCTGAATCAGTCACTGCTGATTCCTTCTCTGCCCACACAGCCAAAGCCACCTCAGAGAGTGACCACCATTCTGCTCATGACATTGCACACAGGGCTATCCAAAAGGTGCTTCATAGACCTCCAGATAGGACAGAAACCCTTCACAAGGAGCCACAGGAATCACATGAATATAGAAATTGCAAGCTCTGGCTCCTGGGAGAAGACAACAAGAGGGAGGAGAAGAGGACCCTGGTCTCCCACTTCCATGCTGTATAGCAGCTCACTCTACAGAAGTTCACTCTACAGCTCACTTCTGCAGAAGTTTCCAGGTCAGGCAGAGCGGAGCAGGGGAAAAGAAGCAGGCAAATCCGCAAATACACTCACTCTGCAGATAAAAAAAACCTACAACTACTTCTATAAGAAGATTTAAACATTTTCTAGAGCTTAAAGAAAAGCTGCTGGTGGGGACCTGGAGAAAGGTGATAGCAAGAAGCCTGCTCTCAGACCACCTGTTCTTGGTCCTTTAGGGTCCTTTCTTCAACTGGATAGGAAGATGTTCGATTATCGTTTTCACTGGAGGCAGGTAAAGTGACTTACCCAGGATCACATCATTATTACCAGTTAAAGACATCTTCAAAAACCATTAGCTCATGTGTGTTCACTGCAGCGCTGCTCACAGCAGCCAAAATGCGGATGCTACGATTTGTGTCTAGGTGTTCTCCCAAAGCCTCATGCAATCATTGGGGCGGCCTCTGGGGTTTGTGATTAATTCATGATCCACCTCTGGGATTATGGGTGTGAGTGCTGCACCCATCCTGGGGTGGGGAATCTGCATACCATATAGGGGAGGGGGAGAGGCTTGCTAGCGGCTGCAGCCACTGCTCCTCCCTTTGCTCTTTGCTGTTTTCTGCTGCCATGAACTGCTGCCCTCTGCCATGTGACACTTTCCCTTGGAGCCAGCCAGGTGGTTTCAGGTAAACTGAAACCTCCATTAACTGTGACCTAAATAAACCTTTCGTTCCCTAATTTTGGGTGTCGGGTATTTTGTCCCAGCAATAAGAAAAAAGCAATTAAGACAGTGGAAACAACCCAAACTCCCACTGTCATGTAATAGATAAATTGTAGTGTACATATTTAATGAAATATTATTCCACTGAGCAAATTGATCAAGCAATGGCCATAACTCATGCACATGGCTGACACTGACAAAGGATCTACAAACTGCGGTACGGGGTTTAAGGGTAGATCCTGAGGGGATTCGACTGACCTTGGCACTTAAAAAGTTACATTTCTTGTTATATAGGTCTTGCTTTATCTTGGTCTCAACTAGCCAGCAGAAAAGTATAAAAATGAGGTATAAGAAATAAAGCCATATTAATATGCTGAGCTATAAAAGGCTCAAGTCAACAACTTCTGACATTGCCAGTCCTATGGATAACACATTACTATTATGGACTACTGGACTATATTGGGTTATTTTGCTGAATTCACGCACCTACAATATTTAAATAGCAATGGAATACCCATCTCTGACAAAACTAAATAAAAAAAAGGGGACATAAATGAAGGACCATTTTGTATCCGTATATACAAAATAGGATAGATATACAGCTACTTTCTCTTAATTCAATGAGAAGAAAGATTTGCACTAATAGTATTTGGACAGGATATCATGTCTGCATCTTGTACTATGAATACTACTACAAAGTCAACAATATACAATGTACTAATTACTGAAACTGTCCTATTAATTGGGTTTTTTTTCCAAAATTTTATTGATAAACAGATAGCACTGAGACAGTTTCAAATCAAATCGGAAGTATAGTTACTAATTGGTTTTGAAACTGTCTCATTGCTATTTGTTTCTCAATAAAATTAATAAAAAACAAATATTATTCCACTATAAAAAGGAAGTGATCTATCCTCCAATGCAGATGAACCCTCAAACTGTGATGCTAAGTAAAAAGCCAATGTGAAAGGTCTCATATGGTATGATACCATTTATAGGAACTATCCAGACTAGACAAGGCCATAGAGACAGCATACATTCATGGTTGTCAGGGGCTGAGGACAAAGGGAAAATGGGAAGTGATGGCTTGAGAGGTACAAGGTTTCCACTGTGGTGACAAGGATGTGCTGAAATAGGCAGTTACTGCACAACATTGTGAGTTTACTAAATGCTACTGAATTGTCAATTTAAAAGCATTAATTTGATGTGGATCTCATTCCTGTAAAATACGATGAATTAGGCAGAACCCAAACCATAGCGCCTTCCCACCCAACCTCAGAATTCAAATGATGGAGAGAACGTGCTGACACTGCTCTCTGGCATCCCACAGCAAAGCCCGCCACCCAGGAACAGCGCTTTAGAACACAGACTTTCTGGATCTACTTACGGTAAACTGTGACCCACTGGTAAAAGGATCAGGAAACGGGCTCACTGTATCGGCTGGGAATGTTTTTATCTTCAAAAAACAAAACAAAACAAAAATACAGGCAAAAAGGTTATCCTCAGATTAGAAAAGTTTTTAAAATCTTTGGCAGTAGATCCTTAACACAGAACTGAACGATGCAGGGGAACACTGGAAGGCCTTGGAGGCCCTTCGTCTCTCAACAGCATAGGCGCAGCAGGTCTGTGATTTGCGTTGAACCTGGGGGCTGTGCTCAGCAGGGCAGACAAGCACTCTTGCCTTGCCTGAAGCTCCCTTTGCCAGGGTCTGCCTGGGCCTTCCAGACATGCTGCACCCTAGGCCTGATCTACAAAGGGCCTCACACAGAGCATATAACAAGGAAATCAGAGGTGCTCGGGGCCACTTCCTAGGGCCTCTCCATAGTGATGGGGATAGGCAAGGGGCTGCCAAGAGGCCACATCCGGGACACAGTCTATCACAGTGTCAGGGTACCAGGAGGTTGGGTTTATTAAATCAGAAAGTAGTCCCTTATCCAGGTACATTAGTTGTTGGACTCCCTGTACACCTCAGATGACAGAGAGAAATCTCAAGGGAAAGCCATGGACACATGTGAGAATCCTGCCGCCATGGGCTTCGGAAAGAGCAAGGTGCTCAGCAGCGCCCAGTGTTGGGGGTAACTGAAGCACAGAGCTGATTGGGAGAGACTGGAGACCCCCATCTGATCAGGCAGTGGTGGACCAAAGGATCCTTGGTTTCCATAGTTGTTTTGTCCTTGTTTTCTTAGAGGCTATTGGGAATGAAAGGACTTATTTCTTCAAGTCAGAATGCCAGCAGGTTGCTTCTGGTGAAGGCCATTGTGATATGTGCAGACACAGAGCTGCAGCCAGGACTCCAAGGCCACCCCTGTCCAAGGGGGTCTCTCAGGGGCTTTTACCTGTGGCTCCCAGGACAGCACCTGGACGCTCTTGCTGCTCCAATGGGAGGGTAAGTAGGGATAGCAAAACCCATTAGACTGAACCTAAATTGGCTAAGGTTATATGAATGGCCAGAGGAGGTCTCAACCAACAGGGGGCCCATAATATCCTTGCAGTGTGCACCGAGGAGTCCAGTCCAATCCTGCTTCCCTTCTCCCAAATCTCTCCAGCCTCTTTAAGTATCTCAAAATTGCCAGAAAGGGTCCCTCACTGGAAGAACCCTTGGGTGAAGCCTCATGGTATGTTCTTGCCTTGCTGAGCAGGTTGATGTGGTCTGAGACCAATTTCAGTGCAAAAAGGAAGTACAGGTAAGCTTTCAGACCCTTCTTCAGTAGAAAAGAAAGTAGGTTCTTATAGCTATTAAAGACATGTGAAAGTTAGGAACCTCAGTCTGCTGTAAATTTTTTACCTGCCATAAATAAGAAAACTAGATCCCAGTAGGTACGCCCTGCCCTGCTCAGGCTGCAGCAGAGCATGCACAGACTTCTGGTGGCACTGCAGTTGGCATAACCACTTCAGAAGGGGACAAAAGCCAAAGCCACACTATGGAACGCAGCAGAGTCTAGCCTAAGAAAATGAAATCCTGATATAAAAGGCTTTATGTGTTTCCTTAAACAGTGACACACTGGAAACAAAGGACATTGTCTTACAGTGGAGGGTTGGTTCAGGTGGGTCTCTCACTTGATGGAATACAAGCAGTCATTGCAAACAGGGCAACAAGAACAACACAGAAAGAACATGGTATCAAGTGAAAAGAGAAAACCAGGAGACAGTATGGCTAGTACGAAGTCACTTGTGAAACCGTGCAGGAATGTGAATAAACAGAAGGAGACATGGAAAAATGGAAATACTGCGCCAGGTGGTGCTTCCTTTCAAATTGTTGGGTAGCACTCCTACTATGTCATCGTGTTGATAAACAGCAGTACAAGAAAATTTTAAAAATGACTTGCAACAGAAATGACACGTGAAAGTGCATCTGAAGAGTGCCAGAGCACGTATTTCTCACTGGCAAAAGCATCTGCTCATCAAATGTCTTGGGAAACAAGTTCTTCCTGGTTCTTGAGAGCTAGGGCTGAAGGGCTGGGACCACAGCCTGTGTCCCAGTTTGACCAGGCCCAGGTGGACCCCAGATTCCCCGTATGTCGTGGAGTGAGAGCACCTGTCCCAGGCTCCTCTGACGTCTGGTGCTCCTGGCCACCGCGCCTGTCCTGGCAGGCCCTCTCCCTGCCGGGATACCTACCAGCCTCGTTTTGATTGGAGGGTACATGCAAACTCCAGTGGTCTCTTCCTTCATGGGGAGAGAGAGTGAAGGAGAGCAGCGAGAGCGGGCACAGTGGGGGCTGCTGGCGGGCTCTGCCTGCTCACGAGGAGAGGAGAGAAGGGGAGGAGGAGGTGGTGAGACAGGGAGGAGAGAGAGGAGAGAGGGAGGGGAAAGGAGAGAAAGATAGCACAGTGCAAGACGGATCTGGCAACTCCAGACTACTCTCACACCAGCTCTGCCCACAGCCTGCCTGCAGCCTCTGCACAGCTGGCTGCTGGTCCCGCCCACCACCCTGCTCTCTCAGCCTCTCTCCTCCTCCTCCTTGGCTCTCATCTCTCTTCTCCACTATGTGAGCAAGAGTACACCAAACCCTCTTCCCAGGGCTGGCACGGATGGGTCATCTCCTGCACCAGCTGCATAGGACTGGGAGTGGCTTCTCCAAGCGCAGTTAGGGTTCTGAAGCGTTGCCCAGGCCAAGCCGGAAGGAGAGCACCATGAATTAGCAACATCAGCCATAGAAGCAATATGCAGATTGGCTACACACTACAGAGCATTTGCCTTCCTCACCAGGTGCCTTCCCACCCTCTGTTAAGAGAGAGCACCCGCTGGGGGCTACAGTGAGTGGACAGCCGGCAGGGAGCACCAGGAAGAGATACTTCCAGGGGAGGAACAGAGTGCAGGATTGCATCTGCTATGGGCTCTTTATTATTTGAGTTCCAAACACAGACCCCCCCATTCCCCTGAGCCCAGCACTGAGTACTTCACCGCTTAGCAGAAGACACCAAGCTCTGTGAGAAGAGCACTCTGCCCTGTGAGATTCTGGCTTCCTCACCGTGAGGACTGCCACGTACCCAGCAGAAATCCAACAGCTTGGGCTAGCGAGGATGGGGATGGTAAACTGGATGTTAGGACAGGGGCCATTGCAAGGTCAGTTTGGATTCCGGGGAGGAACCATCCACTCCAGAGAACAAAGGCACACCTCTCTTAGTTCGAGAGTTTCCTCATACAGTTTGTCTCATCGCAGCAGGAAGAAAAAATACAGCCTCTGAGTCAATTGCACTGAAAAATGATCAAGAAAATTGCAGGCCTCTTTTCCTCCACCAAGCTGGTTTAACTCTGTCCTCTTGACAATCATGCAAAGCTGGACAATTTCCAAAGGGCTTTCACAACCATTATCTCGCAGTGGTCTTCACAACAGTCTTGCTTTGCTATTCACATCTGACAGATGCAGAAATGGCATTTGCAAAGTCTAAATCCTGGATCCAAATCCTCCTGTTGATTATTTCTAAATACTCCTTTGGAGATAAGTGAATCCATATTAGGCACCTGCAGCTAAGCCTTACTGGCTGCCTTAAAATTCCCTCCCAGTCCTTCCTGGTCCTCCGGAGATATCCTCCCTGCCACAGTGCCGCAGGCCTGGCCGGGGAGGGGGTGGGGGTTAGTGCCCTCTGCCTTCCAGGATGAGTTCCCCCCACTCCACCCCTAGGACACAGAGCCTCCGACTAAAGTTGGCTACAGTAGGGAACCCCGGCTCCGGGGCCTTTGTCCCTGCTGATACCAACAGGCAACCAGTGTGTGCTTTATGAACAAAATAGACGCTAGCATAATGACTAAGCCACATGGCCATCGTGCTGAGAGGTCAAAATGTGTCCTGAAGATTACAATGAATAACCGAAGGCTTTGCCCAGCAAAGCTGATCACTACGTTAGCATTTCTGGCCTTACAAGACATGCATTTAAGTGGAATTACACAAAAATGCATCCCTAGACTCGTAGTAAGTGTATGCCTTTAACTCTTAGTAAGTGAGCAAGAAAAAAGATGACATATGTAATTTGATATTATTTTGAAATACCATTTTAGCTTCTGGTATTTCCTTTCCTCCTCGGCACTTACTTACATTCAGGCTGATCTGTTCTTTGATAGATATTTGGCTTTTGAGTCTCAAAATCTGACTCCTTGCGAGAACAGAAAGATTCCTGGCATAGAAAAATGATGAAAAAGTATAAGGCTTCTTCATCATCTGAATAAAAGAAGAAATTGCTCCTTTGGGGACAGTGGAGGAAAGCCAGGCAACGAGAGCAGGGACAGATGGCAGTGGGGAGTGAGCAAGGACCCAGGACTCCTCTGTGGACCTAGGCTGGGAACCGGGGATCAAAGAGCAGTGAGAACCAGAGCCCCTGCTCAGGCCTAGCAGGGAAGGCAGCGGGCCCCAGGCGGAAGGGTGCCAGCCAGTCGGGAGTCACATGTCCCAGCAGCATGGAGATTCCCATCCTTCCTAAAGGGCCACAGAAGCAGCCGAGAATGTCCTAGGTGTATCAGCAAGTGGATGACACCAGACCTCCATGGGCTCAGGGGAGCATAGATGAGACCATGGGGAGACACAAGGGGTAACCTGCTTGGCTTGAGGTCAAGAGCGAGCCCTCTCAGATGAATGAAGTTCAAAATAAACACTAAGCCGTTGACCAGGACAGGATCATACTGGTGATCCCCAGCCTAGGGCCTGATCCTCTGCCTACACAGCCTCCCTTTGACCAGGCCAACGTCGTCCTTAATGTGTGCGCTTTTCACTCTGTCATGCACCAGAAAGGATCTGGATCCTGACTGGTCCTGCTTGGCAGTCAGGTGAGTGGTTTATAAGGATTAGGAAGATCAGAAAAGTCAAGAACAGAGAAGGTAGAGATGTTTATAATCTGCATTACCTGGGAAGGGAGGCTGGCCACAGACGTGGGCAGGGACAGGGCTCTGTGCTCCAAGTCAACACTGTTAATGTGTAAATGTTTCCTCTGCCCATATCCCCTCTTCAGTGGCCATCAAGCCCCCCTGTAGCAGTCCCTTATTTATACCTGCAGTGAATTCCCAACAGAGAGGTACTACCTTGGCACACCTGCCCACTCCCTGTCCTTGCCCACTATCCCCAGCCCCACTGCTGGTGACCCAGGGAGAAATTTGCATGTGGTCATGAGCCGTGAGATGCGGGAACTGGGAGTCATCAGGCATCAAGCTGTGAAGGGTGGAAGGCTTCAGGGCAATCCAAGAGTCAGACATCAGAAAAGAAGACATTTGGGGAAAGGAGGGGGAGATGCTGCAAGAGAACGGTTGGAAAGTGATTCTGTGGAGAGTTTCAGAATACAAAGTTGTGCAGGACACTAGAGAGCTAAGAAGATACACAAGATTCAAGTCATCTTCTGACTGATTTCCGAGGGATGCCAGTCGACAGTTGAGGCTTGTCTTACTCTTGGAGCTTTGGATTGGGCTTCTTTCAAAACCACTCCACAGAGAATGGCCAAGGGCTGGGGAGATAGCTCAGTAGAATAAGCTCTTCCCTGGCAAGTGCAAGGGCCTGAGTTCAATCCCCGGTTCCGCAAAAACACAAACTTATGGTCACAGAGAATGGCCAAGAGGGGGACTCTCTGCTTCTCATGGTGCTATGCTGGAATGTTCCCGGTGAAGGCAGGGACGTCTGGTCCTACTCTGCTCTCTCCAGTTCCCTGTCCTTCTGTTGTGCTAGCCAGGGCTTTAGGGATCTCAGCCAGGAGGAGAGAGAGCGCTAGGTGGGGCCTATGGACTCGAGAGTGGATGACCCAGAAGGGGCACACTTAAAGGAGTGAGGTAATTCTCCATGTGACGATATCACCCAGGAAGTTTTGACTCTTTCCTAGTAAGTGCCTGTTCTTTTATTATTTTTATCCTTCCTCTTTTTTTGGCAGTTCTGGGGATTGAATGCACAGTCTTATGCATGCTAGGCAAGGGCTCTAACACTGAACTATCTGCCATCATTCCCCTAATAGCTGCTGTGGAATGTGAACTATTACAACCTGCCTCAGTGTAATTTCTGAGTCCTGTTTAGTTATTTTTTATTTATATGGCTTTTTGAGACAGGGTCTCACTACGTTGTCTGAGCTGGCCTTGAGCTTTCAATCCTCCTGCCTCAGCCTCCCTAGTGACTCCCGAGTGTGTGCCGCTGTAACTGCCAAAGTGCTGCTTCCCCTTCTGAAGGAAATACTGATGGGAAGCTCAGAGAGGAGCTGCCCACTGAAGGCACAGAGCTGGCGGCCACGGACCTGCACTGAATCCAGGCTGAGTCTCTTAGACCAAGCTCCAGAGCACTTTACAGCCTCATCCCCACTCAGCAGCTCTGGGTCGGTGACAGAGATGTCCCCAAGCTTGGGCTGTGACCATAGGGCTGAGGCCAGAGGAACGGGTTAGCTTAACAGGTGGTGTACGGGCTAACGGGCAGAGTGAAATGTCCTAGTTCAGGTCATGTTCTATAGGATGGCGCTACGACAACTGTCCAGAGCCTGGGTTCTAGGCCTGGCACTGACTGCTCTCTGATTTGGGACAAGTGCCCAGCCCTGTCAGGACTTTGGTTTCCCCATCTTAGGATGAGGTCCTAAGGCACTGTTCTGCTGATACACAGATGCAAGAAGTAAGCAAGTCTTGGGCACATGCCAGGCATGGGGGCTGTCTTGCCTGTTCCAGTTCCAGCTCTGTCCTGTGGCAGATAAAGAATGACCTCTACAGCGCCTCTTTTTGTATGCAGGACACTGACCTGAAGATGTAGACACAGTTACTGATCCCGGGTGCCCACAAGCCCTGACTGGAAGCAAGTTTCCCATCTCCAGGCTGTGAATCCACTCTCTCCTCTGCTCAGCATCCAATAGCGCTGTGAGAGAGCTGCTACTTTCTAGGAGGACTGGAAGGAAGGGGACTCCTGAGCAGACCATTGGTCTAGGAGTGGATCAGTGTGCTACTCAGAGGCGGGGCACAGCAGGAGGAGGCAGGTCACATTTCTGCCTCAGAGAGAGCCAATCGTGGAGTGGAAATTCTGAATCCATGAGCCTGCAAACTTCAGTGAGTGACTACATCTGGGTATAGTACACGGATGTGGATGTTCCTGGTCTAGGCGGTGCAGGCTCCTGAGCCCACTTCAGCTCTAAAGGTGAACTGTCTGGGGATGGTAGAACTACCCCAGAAAGAGGGAGTGAACAGGCGAGGGGTCCTCTATCACTGAAGGGGTGGGAGCAGAGGATGGACAAGCTTTCGGCAGCCATCTGTACCTGGATCATCTGCACATCTCTGACTCCCTGACACATGCCTCTTCCTTCTAATTGCAGTCTGGGATGTCCAAACAAAAGATAATTTCATTACATCCCCAAGCTGGACTCCCAGTGCTATAGTCTCCAAGAAATTATATCACTCCTGCAAAACCCACCATGAATACTTGAATAAATCAATAGTCCTCTGGACCACCAGGCCCTTTCTTGGTACTCTGCTCATCCTGAGCTCTTTCCATAAAATGACTTGGTTCACTTTCTTCACCTGGAAAATTCCTGTTCAGACTTTTGAACCCTGGCATCATAAACCTGACTAACCTCAGTTCCTGCAGGCAGGGTGAGATATTGGGTCTAGCAGCGATAGCAGCTCATATAAGCTGTCTTAGGGCATCTATTGCAGCATGTCTTAGCAGGTTGGAAACTACCCATGAGTCAGACTCACGGAATTACATATTTTCCCCTACTGGCCTTGCTTCTTGCCAAACATGTTCTCCCCCACATGGTTCTCAGAATGCAGCTTTTTCTTCCTTTTTGCCTTCACAGGTCCTCATGGTACCCTAGGTCAAGGGGTCCTCAGGTTATAACTAGGCGAGGGGTCCTCAGGTTGTACCCTAGGTCAAGGGGTCCTCAGGTTATAACTAGGCGAGGGGTCCTCAGGTTGTACCCTAGGCGAGGGGTCCTCAGGTTGTACCCTAGGCGTCAGGCCCTCAGGTCTCCAGGGAGATGCTGTCCTCCAGTTAGATTGGATGTCTTCACACTATTGCTCAGAATTCTACAAAGCCTTGAGGCCCCAGTGAGATATCAAGTGGGATACCGAGGCAGCACCAGGCCCAGCCACCTACATTGAGCCCCTTTCTCCACACCCTTGCTCTACTTTCCCATTCTGAGAGACTGAAATACAGCCCTGCTCTAGGCACTGCTTTTTTCTAAAGGGGTGAGTTAGCTAAGGAGGAGGCTCAAGTCTGCCCAGTGTGAGGCAGATGAGCCAGACGCCCATTCCAGCTCCAGCTCGGTTCCTGTGTGGTTTTCTCTCTCTGGAACTCAGTCCCCTGATCTGTGCCGGGGGTTATGAGATGATTCTGAAGCCCTTTTGTTTCCTGGGTTATCCTACTGGAAAGGGCACTTCCATCTGTCAACAATCTTGTCTAACAAAAAGGTTCTGAATGTAGTCAAAGAATGTAATTCTGAAGGATTCTGGGGTAGCGGTCACCACCATCAGCCCACAGAGCATGTCCCAGGGTGCTACCGCAGGCTCTCAGACTGCACCAGCTCTCCCCAGGAAAAGGATGTACAATTCCATCAGGCAGATGACCAGGAGGAGCATCTACAGCCCATCTGTCCTCACTTGAAAGTCTTCCAGCAGTCTTTCCTGTCCACACATTCTGCCTCCAGCAAGTTGGCTCGGAGGGACTCCCATTTCCGGTCTCTCCCTAAACACTTTCTCTCCAGTTTTTCATGATGCTCTTGGCCATTTATCAGTCTGACTTCCCCTCCAGTCTCTGGCTGCCCTGCCACCCTCAGACCCTGGCATGTGACCAGGCACGAAGTAAACTCAGGAGATAGGCTTGACTTGGCTCACATTTTGACTCACAGCCCAAGTGGAGATTTATGCTCAGCCCAAAGCAGACCATAATTCACACTCAAGTACACATAGGTATTAGGCTGAGTCCAGCCAAAGATGTCTCCAAGTTCGCTTGCATCATCCAATAATAATAACACTGTGCACATGTGTGTGGTGCTTTCTAGTCTCAAAGGCCTCTTTTTCTCTTGTTCTCTCTCATGCAAACCTTGTGACACTCCTGTGACAATGACATCCTTATTTTATAGATGATAGGGAGTGGACTCTAAAGACAAGGCTCTGTGAAGGTGAGCAGAGATTGGAGCCAGGACTTGCCTGTGTGACTCCTGCTTCCACGCTCGGCCCTTTAAACAGGGCTCCTCATCTGAAGGGAGTCCCACAAAGGCCTCTGTCCCTACAGGGAGAACCGTACGTAGAGGAAGGGTGAGGGCTGTTGGTATGAGGGGCCTGGCAAGCCAGGTGTGGCATCAAGCTGGTGTTTGAGGCCAGACAGATTGTCATAAGCGACTGTGAGATGGGTGGGCATGCAGCGCACAGCCCAAGAAGCCAGGAAGTGGAGACCCAAGCACAAAGAAGCCCTGTAGGCACAGCAGGCAAGTGCAGGCAGAGCCCCTGTAAGCACCCTTTGAGAAGAGGAAGCAGCCTTCTCTCCAGGGCAATCAGAGGTGGGGGACCCGTGGGCCTGAACCCTCCACAATGGCAGGTCTCTGAGCCTCAGGACAAGAGCAAAGACCTTGCCAACAGCAGCCCCTCTCCATCTGCCCCATTGCCAAGACATTTCTATGGTTTGTAGCTTTAGCAGTATAGGAAGTTTACCAGAGGAGTAGCTTCAGTGAAATCCATGAGAAGATCGCCGGGCTCCAAGGTGAACGCACCTCCTCGGTCAGAGGGGCTCTATGAACACAGACAAAAACATATGTGGTTGGTGGTGTCTCTAGGTTGACAGCAGAATTCACCAGAAAATGTAGATTCCCCCACCTCTCCGCTGATCTCATAAGGTGGCCAATCCCCTTACATTCCCCTTGTTCAAAATGTTGAGATCGAACCCCATTTTAAAAATGTCTCCATTGGTAAAAGCAGGGCTTGGGGTGGGCAAGTCTGCCCTTTTTTAAAGCTACAATGACCTTTTCTTAAATGTGTTGAGTGTTCTGTGATGTGTCCTTTGGGGGCAAATGTTGTAGAGTCCTTCAGCCATAGAAAGAGGAAACAAAGACTTCGAGTCCCTTAGGAGGAACAAGTGGCTTCCTGGAGCTAAACTGCTCTGTACAATAATGGCAAAGATGCTTATGGTGGCTGGCTGGCACCTCTGGAGACTACTTATTTTGGAAAACATTCTGTCCTTCTGCTCCAAGGGGTTTAGCTGCATGGCTGGCCTCCAGGCCCTCTGAAGGAGGGGAAAACCTCCAGCTCTGTCACCCTCCATCTGCAGGGCTCACAGGACAAAAATGGCCAGGAGAGGGAGCCCTACGACCTTCAGAACTCCCACAGCCACTCCCTTCAGTTTGAAAAATTTCAGCCTAGTTTTAGCCAGCGGTGGGACATAGGGCAGGAGCCCGTGCCCACGCTTGAGACAAAGCTGTAAGAAGACATCCTACGGCAGGGTAGGACACAACTGAGGATGCCAGGTAGTGACCCACAGAGCAGCAGAGAGCTCAGTTGGGGCTGGTCACCAGCCGGGAGGTGCAGCAGGGTCTGCATCCATTCCTGACAAGAGGGGAAAGACTGGCCTCGCCCACACAAGACATGAACCTGGACAGTCGCTCTTTCAGTGCTGCTAGGAGCTGTAGCCCCAGAAGGCGCAGAGGCTCTGGCATGCAGGTTGCCTAAGCACTGGGACCGTTACTGGACCCGCTGCTAGGCCCTGAGCTGGCAAGGCAGCAGATCGTCTCGTTTTTAGGAGGAAAAAACAGGCCTGCAGAAACAAGGGCTTTGGAAGTTCACTTCTGAGCAGCCCCAAGGCATGTGACGGCAGCAGCTGGGAACAAACTGGCACTGTCACCTCAACCTCAGGGTCCCTAGCCCAGGCACACATCTTTCCTCCTATGGTCCCATGAACCAGAGCAGCTCTTAAAATTTCTAAAAGAATTTTTTAGTGTATGTTGGCAGTACATGAAGATACTCTCATCGTGCTGTATTGGCACATATCCAATTGCTCAGCATTAGGTTTGACTGTATGTGGACTAATTGCTAGAGTCATTCACAGAAAACCAAGAGAAAGGTCTTACACGAGACCCTTGTCACCACTCATTCACATCTTTGGTAACTTCTTGAAATTTTAACCTGACAAATATTAATATTTCCTACTTTCAAACTATTAATGCAGCTTATCCTATATAAGGAATGAGATAGGGATATGTCCATGTTTTTATCCCACCGAAGGGCATGTATGTGTGTGTGGTTTCTCCTTTTCTACCTTTACAGAAGAGTAGTAGCTTATGTAGGCTGATACTCTAAATCAAAATTGCCCTCAAGCATCCCTTATATTCTTCTTAAAGTACAAAGTACATGGTTTTATATCATATTATGTCTTTTGTTAGTGGTTGGCTTATATTTTGGGAACAAGGTATAGGAAAACTATGCTTTGTTATTTTTTTTAATGAATACACACAACTGGGTATGCAAAATTGAAATGGACACACTGGTGCTACTCACTGAATGGATAGTACACTACCAGCATGGACAGCTACTCCTGACTTTTGTTTCATACCTTGACCCCCGGGGACAGCTGGCCCTTGCCTTCTGACTTCTGAGGTGAGCTGACTTTCTGGAGCTTGGGAGACACCAGTGGAACCGTAACTTGTGTGGCGGCTGTCGTGGCATTGGTAGTTGTGGCTGTGGTCGTGCCCACTGCCTCAGCCAGGTCTGGGGGGAGGTCGTCTTCATCACTGCGGTTGCTAAAAGCACATGAAGCTCTGTTCATTACAATTATACACACACTGTGGGGCATGCAGGGGGGCTGGGGGGAACAGGAGGTCAGAAGGGTTGGCACCTCCCCAAACAGATGTCCACCAGATGTCCAGTTTACAAAATCCAGTACAACGACCTTCTTCTAAAGCACATCTGAGATGGACTTTCTATCACCTGCCAGGGCTCTGTTCTTTAATTGCAGTAAAATATATATACAACACGATGTTTATCATTTTAACCATTTGTAAGTGCACAGTACAACAGTACTAAACACATTCATTACATTATATAACTATCACTACTATCCCCCAAAAGCTTTCATCAACCCCAACAGAAACTGTGTACATACTGTTATTGAAAAATAATTGTTCGGGCTGGCGAGATGGCCCAGTGGTCTAAAGCACCTACTTAAAAAAAAATAAGCTTAGCAAAGCAAAGGGACCACGGTTCAATTCCCCAGCACCACATGCCAGCCCGCCCCGCCCCCTGGTGGGCTGAGCTGGCCACACACACACATATACACACATAAATAAATAAAATTAAAAAAAAAAAAAAAAAAAAAAAAAAAAAAAAAAAAAAAAAAAAAAAAAAATTGTTCATGGCCACCTCCCATAGCCTCTGCTGATGCAGTCTCCCTTTCTGTCTCCATAATTCACCTATTCCAGGTACCTCATATATATGGAACCACTCAAGATATGTCTTTTCTCGGTCTGGTTTATCTCACTCACATTGACATTCCTAAGATCAACTATGTTGAGGCACATATCAAAATTCCTTTTTTTATGGTGAAAAATTCTCAACTTATGGATATATCATATTTCTTATCCTTTCACCTGTTGATAAGACACTTGGGTTTCCTTTACCTTTTGGCTGTTGTAAATAACGCTGCTAGAAATGTGGATGGACCAATGCTTGTTTGGCTGTCTGATATCACTTGTTTTAGATTGAAATTTTAACTAGGAGTACCGCTGCTGGGTGCTGTGGTAAGTGTATATTTAACTTTGTGAGGAACCTCCAAATCAAAGGATAGTATTTTGACTGGCTTTGCTTGGGCTAGTAAACACAAGACTCTTAGGAATCCACTGCCCTGAGCCAAGGGTTCCATGACCCCTTTTGAGGCCTAATAGCAGCTTTCCTGTGAGTACGATAAATCGGTTATAGGGAAGGAGCTAGGCCAATTGGTTTTGCTACCAAGTAGCTCTGGTCTGAGAACCTTCCTGACAGAATAATATGACAGAGGAATGAAAAAGTCACTAGACAGGAAGTCACAGCGAGGGAGCAGTCTAGCCCTGTACCACGGGCTTTTCCCCAGGGCTTGGATGTGGTAGTGGGATGTGGGCGGGGGGCAGCGGCGTTGACTTCCCACAAGGAGGCCAGCACTGCAAAAATCCTGTCCATTAATTTTGCTATTTTCTACTACTGGGAAATGCTATCATTCTTTGATTTTTCAAAGTAGAATATTTGGGGGCAGCGTAAGAAACGCACATTTCCGTGAGAGGTTGGTATTTTTATACAATGAAGTATTACTAAGCTACAAAGAAATATAAACTTGAGGCTTTTATAGGTAAATGGATACAACCACAGGCCATATTCATAATAAGTGAAACAAATCAGACCTGCTTGTGTAAACATTGTATTGTCTCCCCAGAGTAAGAACCTGAAAGAGTAAGTAAAATCCAACAGATGCTGTGAAAGAGAAAGACACTGTTCAAAGGGAAGGAACAACTGAGATGAGGGAAAAGAGGAAAAAAAAAAAGGAAGGAAGGAAAAAGATATATGTACATACATAGGATAGCTTGGACAACTTTACCGCTGATTTTTACTGATTTATTGAAAGGAACAGTTAATGTTTAATTTCTTTTTCTTCTTTTCAATTTTTTGACCAATTTTGCATGCTTTTATCTGGTAATCTGAACAATATGAAGACAATAATATGCACTATAACAACCACTGTTGAATTCCTATTGTTTCATTCAGCAAAATTCTGTATCATTTCTAATGTATTTTTTAACTTTTTTTTTAGTTTCTTTAAGAAAATGTTCTGGAGCTGGAGAGATGGCTCAGTGGAATAAGCACGTCTCTGGCAAGTGCAAGGGCCTGAGTTCAATCCCCAGTTCCACAAAAAAAAAAGGAAAAAAGAAAAAGTTCTTTTTCTTAAAAAGGTTTTTTTAAAAAAATTAAAAGATAACCTGTTTTGAAACTGTCTCATTGCTATTACTTTCTCAATAAAATTAATAAAAAAATTAGAAGAAAAAAGTTTTTTTCTCTCTTTTTTTAAAAGTAAAAAGACAAATTCTATATATTTTATTATTATTATTATTTTGCATTTAGTACAGGGTCTACAGGGTCTCACTACAAGATCAGACTAGTAGTGATCCTCCTGTTTACAGCCTCCCAAGTGCTGGGATTACACCCTGTACCACCACATCCAATCTCCATCGCTATCTCAGCGTGCCCCGGGGTCGGGGCCAGCATGGAAGGCCTGGGGAGCAAACCCCTGGCTCCTGTGTCTGCCTAAGCAGGCGCTTTATCTGTGGGCTATTTGGCTGGCCCCTTATTATTTTTTTAAAGAGAATAAAAAATAGTAAAAAAAAAAAAAAAAGACCAAAACCATTAGAAATGATACAGAATTTCACTAAACAGAAATGACGGTTGCAACCACAAAACAATGGTTGTTATATTGGGTATTGTTGCCTTCAAACTAGTTGTTCAGATTACCACATTTATATGCATGCAAAATTGGTTAAAAATTTTAAAAAGAAGAAAAAAATTAAACCTGAGCTGCTCCTTTCAATAGGCCCCTACAAAGGGTTTTCTTAAAGGAGCCAGTTTGGTGACAACTTTTCTTTCCTTCCTGGCCACCTATCAGTCCATCATTATTTCAAACTGATCACAAGCCCAAAGGGGGTGATAATGTTCTAAGTTTCAAAATATAAAACAAAGCAAATGCTGCCTGCCTTACCCGTGGGAGGCAGATTTTTCATGACTTAATTTGTTCCATACAGTTCATTAGGATTGATAATTACTTGAACCTATTCATTCTGACTTTGCAGGTAACACATGAACCCACTACGGGGTCTGGAAGTTAAGGTGAGCAAGGTGGGCTGTCCATCCCTCAGGAGCTCCACATGGGCCTGTCCTCCTTTCGCAAGGTGTGAATGGCAGGCATGAGGTGGCAGTTTGAGAGCTTATCTGTTGTTGTTATGCTCCCTGTCCTACATTTTGTACTCTGGGAAGCCCCTAAACTTGACCTTTTCCCAAAAGCTTCCAGGTCCTAGGGAAGAGAGAGAGAGAGAGAGAGAGAGAGAGAGAGAGAGAGAGAGAGAGAAGCACACGATGTGGCCAGCTCCCCTACCAGGAACGTTAACTGTACTGTCACATGTTAACCTTCCTAAAGTTCCTCAGAGGTAGATATTTGCTATGACCCATTCTACAGAGGGGGAAAGAGCAGCTCAAAGAACACATTTCCCAAGAGTGCTGTGGACCAATCATGGCTCTCACAGAAGCCTGTCCACCTTCAGAGCCCTCCGTGTCTAGAGGTGCCCTACAGCTCTCTGAGGTTCACTGCCAAGGCCACAACCCGGATCAAGAAATGGGAACCTCTTTGGGATCAGCACTACAACCATAACAAATACCACCACCGCCGTTACTGTAGCACTTAGCTGTCTTCTTGGGATTATAATTATTTACAAGTCTGTGGTTGCCTACAATATATTGTAAGTCTTAGGATGGAAACTCCAAGTCACTTCCCTGTTCCCCGACAGTGCCTAAAGCAGTTCAGTATTCAGGAAGGCTAGGAAACTTTTTTTTAAGCTAAGCCAAGCAGCACTGGATGGTCACTGGTCTCATACAACCTCTTTGGCTCTGTCCACAGACCGTGCTGCTGTTACACTAATATGCCATGGGAGACAGCTCTCGTTTGTGCCCTGGAGCGAACCCCATCCTAGCATAAATGCTGTCGCGAATTCCTTCCCTTGAGTATGAACTAGACTTTGTGACTTGCTTCTAATGAACAGAATGTGGCAAAAAGAGGAGATGCTACTGCTGTGATCAGGTTATAAAAGACTTCATATTTTGTCTTGCTAACACTCTTCTCTGGATCTTCTCATAGGTTTTCTCTTAATGGGAAAAGCCAGAGATGTCTAGCCAGAGGGTGACTTTGGTCCAGCACCCCTTGAAGAATAGGAACTGCATGAATAAAGCTTCAGATGTGACCACAGCCCTTGCTGACACCTTGAACACAGCCCTGTAAGAGACCCTGACAGAGAAGACCCCAGAAGCCACCCCAAGCTCCCAACCCCTGGCAACGGGATGGTGATGACTGTCCCTGAGGAGTCTGCTCCCCACAGTCAGTGAGGAGTGCTCATGCTGACTGTGCGGTGTTTGCAAGAAAAAAGGCATGGTCCCACCGGGACCTGACCTGGGAATAAAGGGAGTGTGGGCAACGGCTCAAAACCTAGAACCAAACACAAAGCATTACTGTAGTTATGAAAATTGAAAAACTTGCAGTACAGAACTCACAAACTATATTGTCTTGTTAACTTCCTCACTCGGGGAGGCTTGATTTCTGGCTTTTCCACAGCTGGCTGGGCAGCTTCCACGCGAATAGGGATAGGACTTCTAGAGACATACCAAACAATGGGACAACACCAAAGAGAGTTTAGTCTTCTTTAGGCAAGACAGTCGGCTTTGTCAGTAACTTATACCTTAATAACATTGGTAGCTAAGAAATCAATATTGCTTTGTCTCTCTACCCTACTTATTTTAATAATTATAATTATTTTAAAAAGACCAGGACATCCAAAGGCAAAAATAAACAAAGATCATAGAGAAGACAATATAGCAAGTGGGGACCTAAATATAATTGGGGTACCAAATAAAGCTCCCCGGCTGTGAACAGCCGCCCACCCATTCACAATAGTTTGGTTCTTAACCAGGTTCTGTCAGGAAAATGATGAAGGGAAACCTGTGGATACCTCAGCTTCACCAATAATTGGGTGGCCATGCTGTTTTAAACATAGCACAGAGTACATGACTAAAGAAATAACTACAGTCCATGTCATGCGAAAAATGCATGATCAGAAGACCTTTAGGACTTGCTATATATTTCAATTCTATGTACATGTCTAAACATCAAAAATCAAATTTTACTTTTACCCTTCCTCAACCATTTATTTTTATTTTTATTTTTTTCGGAACCAGGGATTGAACTCAGGCCCTTGCGCTTGCCAGGGAAGCGCTTATTCCACTAAGCCATCTCCCCGGCCCCCTCAACCATTTATGCCAGATAACTGATAGGCCCTATTCAGAACAGGGGTGTTAAGGAAAAGCTTTACCATGTTTATAGTGGTTCTGACTAATTTCATTTTTAAAAACCAGTAATTAGCTTCCAGCACACCTAAACAATTTAAGGCCCCAGCAAGGGACCCCAGGCAAGTCAGTGAACACTTCTGAGCTCCATTTTCTGTACTATTCAGGGGCTAATTGTATGATAAGTGTGTGTGGCTAGTGTCTAAGCCTAAGAAGTGTTTGTTGCATAAACACAGGAATGAGCAAATAAAGAATGGGAGGCGAAGGGCGCGCCCCACTTGTGGCTCCCTCAGGCAGGGAGCCCAGTGCAAGCCAGAGAAGTATCTGGAAGGACGCAGGCTCACAGAGAGGCTTAACTGTGCCTAGAGGAGTGGAAAGCTTTGTGGACAAATCCACTCCTAACTAGGTGCAGAGAGACAGAGTGGTGACCTGGCTGAAGGCAGGCGCCAGGACTGCTGACAGGGAGTCCCAGGGGAAGAGCAAGGGCTCAGGGCTGCAGAGAAAGCAGGGGCTGGTCACAAGGACCTTAGGCCACTGAGTTTCCATGGAAGGCCAGCATAGCATTTAAAGGTTTTAGGCAGGTCAGTGGCATATCAGATCTGTGTTTTAGAAAGGTCCTCAGAGAAATGTAGAGGGCCTGGGTGAGAGGAGACCAGGAACACCTTAGAGGAGATTCAAACACTAATTGAGGAAGAAAGAGAATGCAGGCTGGGACTGGGCAGGGCTGAGGGTCCTGAGAGGGGGAGGATGGATGCGGGAGATAACATGGAAACCAGATCAATTGGATGTGGTGATTAATTAGGTAATGGGATGAGGCCGGAGAAAACACAGATTCCCAGGTTTCAGTCCTCGGTAAGAAATAGGCAGTAATGGTATTTGTCAAGAGTGGAAAACAGGAGGGCTGGCCAGATAACTCATTGGATTAAAGCACCTGCTTAGGCAGACTCAGGAACCAGGGCTTAATCCCCAGTGTGCTGTGCTGGCCCTACCACCAGGGTGTGCTGAGATGGCAAATGAGACCGGGCATGGTGGCATACGCCTGCAATCCCAGTGCTTGGAGGCTAAGAACAGGAGGATCACTGTGTCTG